GGGGGGGGGTGAGTGTGTACTGGTAGTCGCAACCAAAACAAAGTTGACTTTAAGGTGTATTTTACCAGGTGCACACTCATACGCACGCACACATACGCTCACACACATGATGTTTCTCTGTAGAAATGATACCATGTGCTCAGTGTGATTTTGTTGACGCTCAGGCTTTTTTTTCTCTCTACCTGGCACTACTGTGTTTTGTGTGGGCTGCTACTTGTCGGATGTTTGTGTTAGAAGTTGACTGAATGAATATTCTGTTGTTGTTCTGTATTGTGTGTGCGGTTGTTGTTTTTTTCAGTAGTGCCTCTCGGGTTTTTCTGATGATAGTATTAAATCAAAGACATGTCCATTAACCCGTTCATTACCATACTTACTCCATAATCCTGCCAAAGATCAAGTCAATGGTAGGGTTAACGTGGTTGCAAGCTGTTATTACCCATAAGATCTTGCAAGAAACCGATAGTCCGAATGATGTTGTCGATGATAAATTATGACAATGATATTTCTGATGGTTGTGGAAATGTTTACGATAGTGGAAGTGGTGGTGGGGGTGGTGATGATGATGAGGAGGAGGAGGAGGAGGAGGAGGAGGAGGATGATGAGGATGACGACAGTGATATTGACAATGGTGCAGAACATGGATTGATTTGGTTTGTGTGAAACGCTTTCTGCCTGGGCTGCGCTAACTGGTTTCTGTGCTGTAAATGTATGGCTCTTTGCTGTTGCGTGCCGAAGACGTTATTTCGATTCTAACGTTAGAAATGTGTTTGGTCGAGTAGCTCCGCCTGTCTGCTAGTTAGGATACTGTATCTCAGTCTGCACTCGTTTGGTCCTGACATGCGGGATTGAAGTAGCCCGCCAGGTAAAACATGATCTAAATTGTTTCGATTTGAATGCAACACATTTAACTGTATTAAACTGATCCTATTCTCTGTCTTCTTTCTGTCCACCATCATCAGTAGTGTTGTGGTTGGGCGTTTGTCTTTCGTTCGCAGAAGATCCGAGTTCCATTCCCAAGTGGGGATATACTTTTTCTATTGAGTCTCGGCCTTTCTACTGGGGTGTTGTATCCCTCTCAGCCCTCTCAGTCGAAACTCGCCTCTTAATAGACGATCTGAATTATGCCGATAGTGACGTAAAAACACCTACATTTAACAACAAATCTTTCTGTCTACCGATACGATTTTTATTTCTTGGGTTGTTATTATTTTTGTTGTTTTTTGTCCCCCCCCCCCCCTCTCATTTCTTGTCGAGATTGTTTTTACTCGAGACAGCTGAATCTGTCATTCAGTTGTAATGTTCTTTCGGTGTTGCTTTCCGTTCGATAGAGGTAAATCTTTTGGTGTTGGTTGTTTGTCTCATAGTTTCAGCTAAGTCCCCTCCTCCCCTCCAAATTCCCCTTTTCTCCTGACCATGCTTACCCCCCGCCCTCCCCGTTCCCCTAGCCAGCATCTTTTTGGGTAGTTAGGAGTTCTCTGTTGTGGTATACATTTTCTATTTCTTGTCCCACCATCGTCCTATTACATTCGAACCTGCTTTAATGGCGGACTTTCTAAAGAATTACCTGTTCTGTACAAAGGGCCACTTCTCACTCCCCCTTACGTTTGTGTGTACAGTGTATGTTGTTTTGGGGTTTTTTTTAGATTCTAATGGGGATGTCCAAGATGTCCCCCAGTCTAAGACAAACACTTTTCTCCTCGACAGTGGATGGCCGTCTTGGCCAATTTCGATCTATTAACTCTCCAAAGACGTAGCGGACACATATTTCCGACCAACAGTAGACCAAAGTCAATGTTTCGGCACATTTCGAACCACCATACTCAAATCAAATACCTAAATTTGCTTAGTTCATGATGAGCATGATGCTGTCGATCTATTAAAGTTTCAGATAAAGAAAACAGTGGGAAATCTGCATGAATAACGAAGTAAGGCTCGTTTTGTAAAGTGCCCTCCAAACAGCTTGTTTGCAAACGTTGTCGAAGAAGTGTCCTCAAAGAGTTAATATTTTGCTAATCCAACCCAGCCCAACAGGCGGGAGTCTTAAAACCCCTCTTCCCAAAAATTTCAGGATAACGTCTATCACTATCGGCGTGTAATACCTCTGTAATCTGCCTTATTGCTTCCTGTTGAATGAAATGTAGCCGTTATCATGTCGATAGGCTGCATTATAGATAAGCAAGTTTCCTCCACCCTCCACCCCCCCAGCCAGAACTGTTTCTCTTCACGTTACGTGAATTTGATTCCTGCCTGGAGACGTTGTTTTTTCAAGTTTCTATCTGCTGGGATGTCTGAATCCCCTCAACTCGTGTTGGCCCTGACAGCCAGGGTCTAAATTATCTAAATTGTGTCGATTTTGGGGGGTCTTTTTAAGGAGGGTGGGGTTCTTAAAGCATATTTCAGTAGTGTATCACCCCTCATTTTTGCAATTTCGTATAGTGTGTTATGGGTATAGTTAAAGCTTCTTTCAGCACTGAAAGGTTTTTTTTTCGGTGGCAGGACTGCCAGGACCACCCCCCCCCCTCATTTCCCCCACTTTGCGACAGGACGGAGTCTGATTAATGGAGAGACACTGTCACTCCTTTTACAGACCTACTTAGATGGTCCGTGAGAAATTCGAACCGGGTGGGCGGTTGACGGGCGATTTGGTGTAGTTTGCTCCTTATTTCCTTTCAAACATCTATCCTCCTTGTCTCTCCTCATTTTCTTTGTATGTTAGCAACGTCGTACGACTCTAACCACACTTCTATTATTCGGCACTTCTATGACCAAGGTGTATTGGAAGTGCTGTAAAAATCGTACCTAAACTTTTTAAGTATTCGAACCGGGACAAGCTGCAGCAAAGGCTAGCGTGGTATCAACGGAGAAGTGAAATAATGAGCATAATATAGGGTTGTGGTCACGTACCTCTCTGAGGTCTGCGATGTAGCGGTTTGGCGCTTTTGCCGTCGCACGCAGGAGACCTGGGTTCTAGACCCGTGTAGGAAGCGTTTTTAATCGACATCTCTGTGTGTCACATGAGACGTTGCATCCATCTCAGCTCGCTCGACCCTGGCAGGCAGGGTCGCATTCGCTTGCGCAGTCAGTGATTTCAATTGTATCAACATGGGCGTATAACATCTGCAATGACATGTATTACTCGATGACCTTTTGAACTTTGCTCTAGTTGTGCGCATGCAGCTTTGTCACAAGAATCGTGCCTTTTTTTTTTCTTCTTTCATGTTTGTTGCTGTAAATGTGCTGCTTTGTTATGATGGGCTTGCTGCTATAATTTAATGAACACATTTAATTTGTTGCTGCTACCTTCTGGTTCTATGCGTAGGTCAGTGTTTGTCAACCTGTCAATTTGGTAATCATCGATTTGGTAATTTTGGTGGACGATGGGGATCACCTGGGGTGGAGTGGGGGGGAGCAAGTATATCTCTTAAAAGTGGCAAAAGTGGGCGCTGGCTATAAAAAGGTTGACAGGCACTGGTTTAGGTATTTTTACTTTGTATTGCCAAGACTAATGAAGGGTGAGTCGTTCTTGGTCGTTTCTGTGTTAAAATTGAGTGGAGAGTGGTAGGGTGTGTCCTGGTCTTTTCTCGCAATGTTCTTTGTGTGTTGCTGTTATGGGCTTGCAAGAATTGCAGTGTTCCTTATGTGTTGCTACCAGTGTCTTTGGTGTAATGGTTCAGTTCTTCAATGGTTCGGTTTTTCGACCATGTACACCGAAGACGTGAGTTCGATCCCCGCATGGGGAAGTTTGTATTACCATTGTGCATCTTCGTCTGTCTGTTTGTATACTGTATCTCTCTGAGTTTGGGTTGGCCGTAGCAGGCGGAGTCGAAGCAGCCCAAATGATGACTGTTAATCGTGTCGATGGGGGCTTAAAACAGTTACAATTGTATGAAGTATGTGTCGCCTTGCAACAGATGCTGTGCTCCTTGTGAGTTGCTTGTTGTACAAAGGTTTTGACAGAGTGATGACGTTTTCCAAATTCCCAATGTGTCGCTGGCGTTTGTTCGAATTGACTGGTATAGTGTTCATTAATTCTTATTGCTGCTTCTTCCAGGTTACTGCCATTTACTTACATATAGATGGTGATTGTTTTAAGAAAAAGATAAAGTAATGAATATACATTTTCCCACCTACCTACCTACTTACCCGTCTACATATCTACATGAATGTTTATATGTGTGTATGGGTATATGTATGTGTTAGTGTTAGTGTGGGGTGGGTATGTCAGGACGTAGAGGTCGGGTTTCTTTTCTTTTTTTTATCTTGGCGGTGGGAAAGAGGGGGGCTATCACGAACCGCCCTACCCTGACTGTCCGCACTCTGACATATTATCATCAATTTGGGTGGTTCTTTATTACAAATATGGACACCCCCCCCCAC